ATCCGTTTTTCGGTTTCAAAGACATAGTTGTTTGGCGGGCACTCTACAGGAAAAACTTCCTCGAAGTCTCAGCTTTTGAATGGTATTGTTAAAAAAAATTGTATGGTGGTATTTTCGGGAGAAAATGACGTTTAAATGCTGAAAAGCGTTCCAAATGCCCGCCTCCTAAATCAAAACTTATCGGTTCTCCTGCGCCGAAAAAATTGATTTTTTGCTTTGTGAAATCGATCGTGTTCCAATCTCTATATCATTTATCGGTACACCGAGGTTGATTTTGATTAAATAATCTCTAAAAACGAAAATTCAATGGATACATGTTCAAAAACAATTATTATTCACCTCGCACTCAGGTTCTACACACGGCTGGCAGAGGCTTGAAGTGTCAAAAAATCAACCGATGTTTCAATATGTCTTTGAAACCGAAAAACGGATAGAGTAAAAGTCAAATTTTTTGAAATTTTCACAATGTAAAGTTTGACTTAATTTTTCACTTGTTAAATCTTCGTAATAAATTTTGTTTTGACATCAGAGAGATGGAAAATTTAACGCTCTTTCGAGTGGTATACTTACTTTTAAGTTTGCACTGTAATTTGGTGGAGTTATGGCCGTTTAAAGAGTGTCAAGTCGAAAACGCAGAAAAAATATTAAAAGTGAAAATTCACGAGAATAAGGCGACACAAAGAAAATGTCTAAAAGTAATTTTTTGTTGGAAATTTGTTGTAGAATTGACACCCTGCGTATGTCCGAATTTATACATAGACACCCTGTATACCCTTTCAACGAAATCAATGACACGAAGGTCTTGCCTTCTCCTTGTCAGATGTTTCAATTGATGTTTCCAAGTGTAAATTTCGTGATCACACAACTTTATTTATAAATATTAAGATTTCGAGCTGAACTTTTTATCACATCAAAATATAGCCTACGTTACTAAGAGATAGTGTAAGTATGGAAATGGAAAGTCGATTATGGGACTAGGCCGATCGATTGACTTCGCAAGAAGAATACCTCGCATGGGAATAACGATGCAACGAGTGCCTTGAGTCGCTGGAAGAACATAGTCGACCAAAACGCCCTCGATTATCGATCGGCGTTCAACAATCGTTGGTCGCTCGTATCGCGCGTATCGATAGTCTAAAGTATTCGTTGCGCAGACGTTTCGTGTACGAAGGTGCCGGCAATCAAGCACTAGACTCTTGTGGCGTGAAATAGACACTGCGTTCGAGAGTCGCGTATTAACCGGCTTGTTTTAAATTCGCACTGCATCGAACCGCGTAACTTTCTTCAGGATAGGAGAGACATCGTGCTCGAGCATATACGGGGTGCATTGGTGAAACATAAGACGAGGGTTCGAGATCATTGCCATCTAACCGGTCGGTACAGAGGTCCCGCGCATTCCAATTGTAATCTAAATTATAAAAACTCTTTTTGCATTTCCATAATTTTTCATAATTTGTCCGGTTACGATTCGCATTTTATTATCGAAGAAATAGCTACAGCCTTCGAGGGTGCCGTCAGTGAATTGCCGATAACAAAAGAAAAATACATCTCGTTCACAAAAAGTGTCGAAGATCCAAATGGACCGTCGCGAAATTGTATAAAATTGAGATTCATCGATTCATACAAATTCTTGAGTACCAATCTCGATAAATTAGCGTCTTTCTTAGATAAAAGCAAATTAAGAATTTTACGAACCGTGTTTCAAAATTTGTCTACCAAAGATTTCGAATTATTGACGCGAAAGGGTGTTTTCCGTACGAGTACATTGATTGTGCCGAGAAATTGGAACAATCATGTTTGCCATCGCGCGAATCATTTTACAGTTCCTTCACGGGTGATACAGTATCGGAGAGCGAATCGGAGAGCGAACATGCAGTAACGCACGCGACATGGTATTCGTATTACAAAGATATACCGTGTCCTCCAATTCACACAATCATCCTGGCTCCGCGATTACATCGAATTAAATACAAAGTTTAGAACTCTCGACACAAACGATTTTGGAAAGAATTTGTATAAATTGATGAACAATGCGGTATTTGGCAAAACTATGGAGAATGTACGCAATCACGTCGATCTAAAATTAGTAACAAAATGGGAAGGGAGATATGGTGCAGAGACAATGATTGCAAAACCAAATTTCCACAGCCATAGCGTGTTTTTGGAAAACTTAGTTGCCATCGAACTGCGAAAGCTTGCGGTGAAGTTGAACAAATCAATCTATGTGGGTATGTGTATACTAGATATATCTAAGGTTTGTTTGTATAAATTCCATCACGATTACACGTTACCCACACATGGCGATAAATGTAAAGTTATGTACACCGATACGGATAGTTTAATTTACCACATCGAGTGTAAGAATATTTATGATACTATAAAACGCGATATTAATCGATTTGATACCAGCGATTATCCGGTAGGGAACGTTTACGATATACCGCTTGTAAACAAAAAAGTCCCCGGTTGGATGAAAGACGAAAACAATGGGGCCATAATAACAGAATTTGTTGGACTCAGAGCGAAAATATATGCACTGCGTGTAGATGGTAAAAAAGATACGAAAAAGGCGAAAGGTGTAAAAAGTAACGTTGTTTCCAGGATGATAACTTTCGACGACTACGAAACGAAATTGAAATGATTCGTAATCAGACACGTATAAGATCAAAATTACACAAAGTATACACAATGGCGGAATCAAAAATCGCCCTGAGTCCGTACGACGATAAGCGGGAATGACACCACTGACGTATCAATTCATTAGAACAACTCCGCGATGATGAGGGTTTTGCACGAATCGTTATCCTTGTTCAGACTCGATTCTAGTAAAACGAACGAAATCCCAACTATAAAGCTCTACTGGTAGACGTTGGTGTCAGAATATTGAAGACTTTTTTGACTATTATGTCGCCATCTTTGAAATCGTTCCAAAAACGATAAGGCTTGTACACGCATGCCAATATTTCTCAAGGTTCCTCATCCTCATCCTCCTGTATTCAGGATCGCCTTACCGAATCGGTTGTTGGCACCGACGGTGATTTTGGATGGTCTTCGATTAAGCAACACACTGCCCACTTTATGTTTTTCCGAAAAACGTTTCTCATCAGGTGATCTATGATTTGCACCTCTTCTTCGGAAAAATGTTTAATATCGCGTTGGAAGATATTGGCGAACGCAATTTCCTGGAGTGATGGTACATGCACAGTCGACATCTTCGTTTTTGACACTTTGGGATTCTATGCTGTGCTACGAATCTCTTCATATTTTATAACGTTGACCCCCACCCAGTATAGACAGAATGTGAAGCGTCGCTTCTTCATTGTATCATCCCAAACAGATGATTCCGCAGAATTCTATCACTCACATCCTCAACTGGTATATTTCTTTCACACGTGCCCTTATATTGATTTACTCCTAGTTCTCGAGCGTATTATGAGATTATTGTTACTAAGAATTTATATTACGTATAAAAAAATTAGATCGCGCGCTCTACGCAAAGGTGTGTATACTCAAAATAAATGTGGATAAGAAAGGGAAATGTGTGTAGGAGGGGAGATTTGCTGTTTCAGCATTTTTTTCCATCTGACAAAGAGTGAAAAGTGTCGAAGATCCAAGTGAAAAAACCGTACAAAAGTTGTTCGCTTTCGAATATACCTGGTAGAATCTAAGTACAACAAGTTTATAGAAATAATACAAAATGCTGAAATTAAGGATTATGCAAAGGCAATTGTTGAACATGAAAACTTTGAGTGTCATTCATTGATTGACTCTGAATTGTTAGCATTAGGTTTAGATGTAATGTTGGAATACAGTTATCAATAAAAAAATAGCTTGGATATATGTGTCTTCTTTCTAGCGCATTTCCTCCCATATCATATTCTCATCCGGTGTAATGTTTCAAAGCATGTTCTCCAGTATTCTCATCACCAAAGAATGATGTCACCTCTACCGTTGTTTTAATATTTAGTCCTTGAGAAATTGTATCGCGCAAATAAAAGATTTGCTGCCGAATTGTAATTTGCAAACTTTGCGTTTTTGGATCTTCTGCTTGAGGCCATCATCGCGAAACGTTCCTACCGATGGCTGTGTCAAAGATTGTAATGTAATATTATATGTTGCTCGGGGCATGAGTGCGAGGAAGAAAATACTCGGGCACGAGAGACAGGGAACCCGTGCGGCCCCCAACGACGCCCCCACTCCTGCGGGGGAAGAGGACAGTTTCCCCTCCCTTATAACGTACACGCTTACCTCCCCCGAAGACGACGAGCATGGGTTCCCCCTCCCTTACAGTGTGCGCGCTTATTTCGTTACATGTAAAATTTGCGATTTTCTTTCTTATCGATCTCTGATAACGATAATAATACTTACCAAACGTCGAACAATTGATGTTCTTGTCACGGAAAGTCCGGCGGGTGGACTTTCGCGAGCGGGGTGCCGACTCAGTCAGTCGCCAAAGTCGCAATCAGTAGGCGGGTGCGGAACTTAACCTAATACATAGACGCGGAACTTATCCCAGCGCGGAATCGTGGAACACACACAGATATATACATATATGTACACGCAGTGCATAACCCACACCGAAGCGCTACTGCGAAGTAGGGCGGGAATGGCGAGGATACTTCGCTTGACAGGAGGAGAAGGCCGAAACGGGTCGCTTGTACGACTCTTTTCCCCAGGCTGGGAGATCGCGGTAGCCCGGTGACGTTCCACAAACGCGTAACGTCTGCCAGCGATCGGATGCCCCCCGTTTCGTGAACTAAGTCACGGCGTAGGGGTTTTGGGTTAAACGGAGAGTGCGGGTGACGGAGAAAGGTGCTAACACAACAATTCCAGCGTCACTATTTCGTAGGAGGGTTGGTTAGAAGTCTGGGAGCAGTAATGCTTCCAAAAAAAGGTGAGAGTGTGAGTTTAGCATGTTTATCGCTCGTTTATTCTTTTGAATACTGCCGTACTGCCGTCTCGAGCAACTCTGGTTTTCCAGCGGCACGGCTGCGGTAGTTATGTACAATGGAACGCGGTTTCGCTTGCGCGAGTCGTCGTGGATATCGCAGCGCGCGACTCGCGACTAGCGGCGGACGGTGATAACAACCGTGGGAAGGAAGACGGCGCGCTTTGGTGCGAGAGCGAGGGAGAGGGCCGCGGCTACCGATTCTTTACATTTTTCTTCTTCTTTTTTACCGATCTCTGATGATTACCTATGATAATTACCTCATCTTTTCTAATCTTACATGTTGCACGAGAAAGCGGGCATGAGTGCGAGGAAGAAAATACTTAGGCCCGAGAGAGAGAGGGAACCCACGTGGCCCGAAAAAACACCCCCACTCCTGCGCGCTTATTTCGTTACATGTAAAATTTGCGTTTTCCTTTTTTACCGATCACTGATAATTACCGACCGGTGGTAATAATTATGTTTTACCTTACCGACCGTAGGTAATAATTACCGACCTCACACCACTCGTGGCCCTCCCCCTCGGAGATCCTGGGTTAGAACTGGCCTAGCTATACTACTTATATGGTGCGAGTTCCCCGTTTTACGTATGGAACCCAATGAGTACCAGGTCCCTCGAAAGTATCAAATTTACGATTCCGATCTCGTTCCTGTGTATCCCATCTATTGGTAAAGTATTGCATATAAAAATACCCCTGAAATATGGTATACGCATACGCTTTGCCAGTTGCTGTAGTTGTACGTTGGTGGTTACCCCTTCAGGCATTTTAATTTTGACGTTTTTTTTTTCTCTTTGAAACTCCTCGTCCACGTTTGTACGGCGCGAGATAAAGTCTACGACCTTTCATAGCATGATTATGCCGTTGCATTTCCTCTAGCTGTTTTCGCGCAGACTTGGTGTCATTCACGGCCTTAGCCACGCCAGCAGCAGCACCGGTTAACGCTCCTATAGCTGATAACGCAGGTAGGAGGAACGGGAGGATACCGCCACGCTTTGCTATCGGTAGAGCTCGCTCCCCCTTGTTCTTCTTACTACGACTCTTTTTCTTCTTGAGCCCCATTCCAAGCTTCGTCTCAGCTTTCATCGCAGTCGAACCAGTTGCAGCAGTCGCCCTCGCAGTACGCCGAATGTAGCATCTTTCGCAGTTATGCGCTGGCGTGCTCGATCAGCTAAAATTCGATATGCCTCGTGACGATTGGTCAAATCTTTGTTTCAAGAGTACGCAATATCGTATTCTCTACAGGCTGCATCCAACGGATTTAGACCTCGATCGCCGCGTGCTAAACGTTTGTCCAGGCGTGTACCCGGTCCGCAAAATTGATACCCTGGCACATGTAGCTCAAACGGTAATTTGTTTATTAGAGTATTTACAAGTCCTGCTCCCGTCCTTCTACGCATAGGTAACAATTTTTTTTCATAGGCGTTGGTCTGTCTATGTGCGTACGTTGATCTGGACGATTGTAATGGAAGAGACACCTACGATAAGACTGGACTTCAGGATCAGCTCTTATATGTCTCGGTAGTTTATCCCACGCGTAATGAATGTCGCTAGTCCAATTGCTCCACAGTCAAGTCGAACAGTGTATCACCATCAATTAGTATGAAAGCCATTTCTGCACTGACTGATATGTCTGGGTCATGCTAGTATAAATACCCCCAACATCGACACATACCTTTTCTTTACCACGTTTAATTTACCACATCGAATGTGAGAATATTTATAATACTATTAGAACCGGCCTAGCTATACTACACATATATTTCGATAGTTTTTCGGCAATCTTCGACCGCCGAGGGAACTGATACAATATTTCAAGAATAGCGTAATCGAGTATAATCACATGTCTTATTAGCGCTATAATCAGAGCAATTGCGGACAGCTATGTTTGCAGTTTCTGCAGACGGTTGACAATCAATTTAAGGAGAGTCATTGCACACTTTAACTCCAGTATTCGTTTGAACATGTCGCTGACGTTGACGCATACCGGCCAAAGTAGCATTCTCCCAGTAAGCTATTTTCCGGCCATTGATCTGAGCGATGGTGATTACGAGCTCGGTCTTACGGATTTTGAGACTTATTACACAATACCGAATGTAAATTTGTCGAATAATAAATTTTACTATGATAACGATGATAAGGAAATCATTATTCCCGGAGGATCTTACGAGCTGGATGACATTCACATGTATTTGCGACGATCGCTTTCGCAAGGTAATGAGGGGAACTCGTAGATACTTAGAGTTAACAACAATCAAGTGCGAAATCAAGTGCGATTAGAGCATTAATCCTACCAAACCCAATACTATTGGCTCGTTGCTGGGGTTTTCGACGAATCGGTTGCTGCAACCGCGAAAATGGCACGAATCGGATGCGCCAATCAATATAATGAACGTAAATATTATTCGCATTGAATGCAACGTGACGGCTGGAACTTACAGCAATAACAAGAGCGTGCACACGATACACGAGTTTTCGCCTACCGTTCCACTTGGATATAAGATATCGGAAAGACCGACACAGATCATTTACCTTCCGATCACTGCACGAAGCATTTCGGATTTGACGATTCGCGTCGTGGATAAAGACAGTCAATTGTTAAATTTTCGAGGGGAACAGATCATCGTTCGACTGCATGTACGGAGACAACGGCCGTAGTGGGAGATGCTTGCGTTGAACGAAGCGGAGCAGATGACACGTGAAAACACAGAGAAAACAATTCGATCGCCTGCGAAACTCACTGTATCGAATATTGGCTGTCTAAAACCATTGGGCGAGAAGACAATTCGATCACCTGCGAAGCTGACTGCATCGAATGTTGAATTTCTGAAATCGTTGGGTTTCGTTGTACGAAATGGCTAATATCTTAAACATTGGAGGCGAATCGATCTTTGACGACAGTATCGCCAAGATTGAGACTCACACATACAACCCATACGCCAACACAACGTTTGAACACAACGATGAGATACGAATACCTATACAACAGCAGGATTTATACACGTTACCATGCGAGAGCTTTCTATACGTTGAAGGAAGATTCAGAGTAAAGAAACCAAAGGAAGGGGTGGAAGCACACCTTGGAAACAATTGTGTCGCCTTTATGTTTGATGAAATTCGATATGAATTCAATGGTGTGGAGATTGATCGCAACAGAAACGTTGGAATAATAAGCATCATCAAAAATTTTGTGTCCCTAACATTTGACAAATCGCTAATTTTACGGAATGCTGGTTGGATCACACAGTCAAACATACCGATAGGTTACTTCAACTTTTGTGTACCGCTCAACATGATGTTGGGTTTTTGCGAAGATTACAGGTGTATAGTAATCAACGCTCGTCACGAACTCATTCTTATACGCGCGCGCAGTGATAATAATTGCATCGTTGGAGATTCCACGCTGGAACCGGTGGTCGAATTATTAAAGATACAATGGCGAATGCCTCGCATTGTACTGAATGATACGAATGAACTATCGTTGTTGCGAATTTTGTAAAGCGGGCAATACCGAAGGATGAATTTTCGTTCGTGGGACCTGTACGAGTACCCTTTGTTGCAAAGTACGACAAAACATTCGTGGGCCGTTAAAACTGCGACTCAGCTGGAGAAACCGCGATACGTCATTTTTGCACTGCAAACTGGTCGAAAAAATATCATGTCTGAAGATGCGAGCAACTTCGATGCACGTAAATTGACCAACGTGAAACTTTATCTAAACTCTGACTTTTATTCATACGATGACTTGAATCTTGATTTTGATAGTAACAGATATGCTATTCTTTTTTTATATGTATGCACGTTTTCGTAAAGTTTATTACGGATACGACTGTTACGAAACGCTTTGCAACACGGATAACTTTTTGTTGCATGGGCCGTTTGTAGTCATCGATTGCTCGCGACAGAACGAATCAATCAAGAGCGCCACCGTAGATATGAGGATAGAATTTGATAGCAAAGAAAACGTGCCAACAAATACTACTGCGTACTGTCTTATTTTGCATGATCGCGTCATCGAATACTGTCTATTGTCCAACGTTGTGCGCAAAATCACATAAACTGCAGCATCTGCAATATTTGTAATATGTAAGAGAGATGGACACCTTTAGAAATGGTAATGCAGTGAGGAGAGTCGTTATGATAAAAAAAAATAAAAAAATTATGCCAAGTACACGAAAAAGTGGAGGACGAGAAAGACTAATCACAAAAAAATAGAAGATCCCCATAAAAAATTACAACAAAGTAAAAAACGATGTGAAATCGAAATGAGTTGCCAGTACATGAAGGTGCTTTCCAGCAAAGTGCAAAGGCGACACTGTATAACACAATGAAAAATTCGGTGCTTTCCAACTATGCGCAGCTAAAACGCTGTGTTCAACAGTGCAGACGTTCAGACCCTAATGACAACTCATGTAAACTGACTGCTCCGCACTTTGGCAGTGAAATGAAGAAGGTAAATCGTGTATCAACCACAAACTGAAACTGTTTAGACATTTGCCTAGATGTCCGTGACCTGGAAGTTAAATGCTTGGCGTGGTCAGGCAAGGTCAAGGTTTTGATGAATAAGAATTATTTTAAAACACAATAAAATGAAAATGTACTCATATTGTCAAAGTTTTAAATTGACAAATTATGTGAAAGTCTGCGAGAGAGAAAGTATGGGTATTAATGATCTGAGAATGCTTTGCCTGGTCACGCCAAGCATTTGGCTTCCAGGCTACGGACATCTAAGCAAATGTCTAAACAATCTCAGTTTGTGGTTGATACACTATTTAGCTTCTTCATTTCACCGCCAAAGTGCGGATTAGTCAGTTTACATGAGTTGTCATTAGGATCTGAACCTGTGCACTGTTGAACACAGCGTTTTAACTGCGCATAGTTGGAAAGCACCGAATTTTTCATTGTGTTATACAGTGTCGCCTCTGCACTTTGATGGAAAACGTTTTCATGTACTGGCAGCTCATTTCGATTTCACTTCTTTTTCTACTTTCTTGAATTTTTTTAGGGGGATCTTCTAGTTTTCTATGATTACTCTTTAAGTTCTCCACTTTTTCATGGACTTGGGGTAATTTTTTTTACTTTTTTGAAGTTTTTTATGGGGATTTCGTTACATGTAAAATTTGCGTTTTTCTTTCTTACCGATCTAATTACCCACCGGTGGTCTCCCTCTCTACCATCGGTACTAATTAACGACAGTAAGTAATAATTACATCCTATCTTACCGACCGTTGATAATAATTACCGACCCACCACGCGCGCTCTCGCCCCCCCCCCCCCTCTGGAAGCCGTTGTGTTAGAACCGGCCTAGCTATACTACTCAGATACCCGCAGTATACTTTGTCTACCTATCCGACGAACATGTTTGCATAGGGGGATTTCGCGTGAAATTAGCGCTCGCCGTAGGTAGATGGATCAAAACAAAAATTGTGCAACCGTCTCTTCTCGCTAGTTGATCGTATAATAAATGAGAACTGCAAAGGTATGTACATAAAAAAACCGGTTTTCCGTACATGCTGAATCATATCTAAAACCTGTCCGCTTCTTTCACGTTCGCATCCACGCCGAATG